CTGCCACGGGAGAAGGATGCCTCTCCTTTGAGAAGAGCCTGCTACAAAGAGCAGCGCAAACCTTTGCGAAACGCTCGGTGACTGACCACTATTTGCAGGTTGCGAGATGGCTGCATATTGAGCTAGCCATGACCATCTCGAGGAAAAGTTGGCACCTTCTGTCCAAGCACCGCGCATACACCATCACCCCTCTCGCCCTGCTGCGGGTACATTTCAAAATCGGATACCTCTCCACGGAGCGATCTGACAGAAAGAAGCCCTATGCTGCGACCGACGCACACAGCCAGACTGTGCGCGACTGGGAATGGCACGTCAATCAAGTCATGCCTGAGGGCTACCTAGCAAGGACCCATCGCTTCCGTAGACTGAGAGAGGCCGGTGATGAGATTGACTACTTTCGCCTAATTGATCGCACAGTTGAACTGCCCGATACAGAAGGGACGTCGCGAGAAGCAGGGGCACACACCAAACCACAAACCTCTGCGGCTAGCAGTCAGTAAGGTAGGACCACAGAGATACGTTTCGCACAAGAGAAACGTACCCAGCGTCTGAAATACTATGCAGGTAGGCCCGGCGGTGTTTCAAGATACTGTCGCTACTCACCAAGTCAAGGGGTAGGAAGGCGTCACTTATCTTACAATCGGACACGCCGGCCACGGCGGTAGGACAGACTGCACAGACACCGGGTTAGGAGGCATAATGTTCCTTAGTGGTGAAAGTAGTTCACAGGAGCCCCAGGCGGTATCCCAAGATGCTGTCGGAAGTGTAGCTGGGTAGGTTGCCCATAGGTAACTCTTGTTTACCGCTGCCCGGGGTACTGCCTAAGATCTATCGGGCGTCAGGGATATTACAACAGGGCTCCGTCCACCTGTCGGCTCAAGGCGAGGCCTGGCAGGACCACAAGGGAGGGCTGCCAATAGCAAGGCAGTCCCCCACATGGCTGAGGGAGCAAGCAGAACCGTACGTCAAGCACAGCAGGCAGACTGGGAAGAAGACAGCCTCCTTCGACTGCACCTCACCACACTGGCGGGTACGGAGATACAGTTACCGGTCCCTGTCAGCATCTACCACACGTGGAGCATGTTGGAGGACTACCTGACTGAGCACCTGCCGTACATTAGCCCCATCGAAACGTTTGGATGCGAACTCACCTTGCTCGATGCGGATACTCAGGCGGCGCTGCAAGACCCTGTGCAGGAAGAACTTTGGAATTCCAATCACTTCTGTCTTATCGTGCGCGAATGCTTTCGGTGTCTGGAGAACAACAAGCCGCTTCAGGGGCTTGATTATGAAGACTGTCCGAAGGCAATTCGAGTCCCTGCCTCCGAATCAGGTATTCTCGAAGCCAAGGCCTTCCACTCGACCATGCGAGTCCGCCACGCCTGTTTAGATGTTGGCTTTAGGATAATCAGCCCGCAAGCATGGCGGTATTGCCACTCCCTGCGGATTGTCAAGCTGCCTGACACGGTTATAACGTTGGGATATGCAGTTTTTCAGGGATGTTACTCCCTGCAGGTAGCCGAAATGCCGGGATGTGTAGTGTTTGGTTTTCGAGTATTCTCCGAATGTTGTGCGCTGGAGAAGGTCGGTAACATTGTTGACGGAGGCTGCCACCTTGCGATTGGAGCCATCGTCAGTCAATATGCTTTTGAAGAATGCGCTGAACTAGCCCACCTATCCCTACCTCATGTACGAGCAGTGGTGGATAGTAGCGCACTCACTTCCCCGCAGGCAGGACTACCCCAAGGCTGCTTCTTTGCAAGCGGTATCCAGCAAGTGGAACTCGGAGACGACACTTACCACATAGGCCACAGAGCTCTTGAAAACTGCAAAGCGCTCACCAGTGTCAACCTCGCCAACACGGGCATTCATACCCTACATATGCACACGTTTGCGCAGTGCCACTGCCTGTCAACAGTCAAGCTGCCGAACTGCTTGCGTGAAATCAGGGCAGAAGTGTTTGTGGGCTGCAAAGCCCTGGAGAGACTGACTCTTCCGGGCAGCATTCGTTACCTTGGATACAGGGCCTTGGGGGATTGTACAGAGCTCTCTGTCTTGGAGTATGCATGGAACAAGCAGAAAGCATGGCGATATCCGTATGCGGCTGACAATGCCTTTGAAGGCTGTATCAAACTGACCACCCCAAAGTGGCTGCACCGCATTCCGCCTAAGGACAGTGATTGGATTGCTCCTTGTAGTTGACAGAATTGAATGAACGCCTAGCCCTTACTCATAAAGAAGTGCCAGGCCTGAGTGAGCATGGATGGTTACCCAAGTAGCTGCCCCTCTGCACTGCGAGGCTCAAACCCCCAGTAGCTAGTACAGGCACAGGGAACCATACTGCCATGCACTGTGACATGGAGTCGCAAACGAGCTCACTAGTTAGCAATGAACGCCAACTAGTGGTTCATCTCCAGTTAAATTCTCTCTCAGGAGAAGAATACCAAGTCATTGTCGACCTCCAAGAGTTTGATCGGCTTGATGAGTTTGAAACCGCTGTCTTAGAGCAACTCCCGACCACAGGAGGAAGTAGCACATTTGGTTGCGAACTCACCTTTGTTCGACGAGATACCGGGCAGCTCTTGCGAAGTCCGATATGGGACACCCTCAGAGACTGCAATCATTTCCAAATTGTCGCCCGCCAATGCAGTCAATGCGCAGAGCATAAAGGCCAGATGAGGAGGAACGCAAAAGCACTCCGAGTACCTGTCACCCGTTCAGGGCAGGTGCTCCCCCGCGCTTTCACACATTCGTGCGATATCAGGCACCTGCAAGTTGAAGCAGGTGCACACCATAGGCGAAGCGGCCTGGCAGCATTGCACTAGGCTTCTCATAGCGCACCTGCCCAGTTCACTGCTATGCCTGCAAGAAGGAGCCTTCCGATGTTGTTATGTGCTCCACACAATCACAGCCCCGGGGTGCATTGACTTCGGGTGTTGGGCTTTCGAGGAGTGCCACGCGTTGGCCTGGGTTGGAGACCCAGACCAAAGAAGCAATCAATTGGCGCCGCAGGCGAGGCTCAACGTCCGAACTTTTGAGCAATGCCGCACCCTGCGGACAATTGGCCTGGATAGGACTAAATATAACCCACAAGACCCGAATCGGGTCATGCAAGCGGTCACCTGTGATAGCGCCTTAAGTCCACAACGCTTTGGGGAAAATTTCGTGGACAAAATTTTCAGCCTACTTCGTCACACTAAAGTACCCGAAAAAGTTCTTTGACAATTTGATGCATCCACATTTTCGATAATTGCAGTAATCTTGAATAACGCAAGCTTTGTGATAAACATGTCTTGTGCTTTTCTTGAATCTTGATTCGAGTGTGGTCACATTCACCTTTTCGATGCCGCTGCAGCCGGGTGGGTCGAGGTGGGATCAGCATGAAATTTTGCTGGCCTCACTGGGGGGTTAGTTTGATGGGCTCTTCTTAGCGGGCGTGCGGTGCCCGGGCGCGCCATGAATGGTGGCGATTTGGAGGTGTTGGAGCCCATAGATTTGAGTCAGGACCATGCAGAAGATTTTGACCATGAAGAAATTTGTTCAGTTGCGCATTCGGCCCCATCATCTCATGCTTGTGATTTCGAACCAAACCCCCTTGCATCCCCGCGCTCGAGGGATGATCCCAGGGGCCTTGAGGCCAGCTCTGCCTTTCAATCTTGTGAGCTAACAGGTGCATCTTTCACGTTGACACTTCCGAGCAGTTCGAACCGTGCATTCTTTGAAAACGCCTTTGTGTCAAACGCCAAATTCTGTGACATAAAGATGCCTTGGGAGACAGGTGTTGCGCAACAAATTTTTGGCAATCCTTTTCACTCAACTCCAGTAATCCCTGCAGTGAGCACTTCGGAGTGGGTGTGTGTGCCTTGGAAGGACGCCTTGGATGCAGTAGTGGATGACACACTTAGGCATACTTGTGAAACCAACAGTGCCCCCGTTTTCGTCTCCGCAGTTCGTAACCTCGATGATAAGACATATGACGAACAGAGGGATGCATTGATGGACGCAGCCATTAGTAAAGTTCTAATTGTCCTTCGTCATTGCTTGCTTGCTAGTGTAGTTGGGAGGCAGATCATTTCACTGGGTTCGGAGGAGCAGCAACTTGAAGTTGCCAAGGAAATCGTTAGTGCAGTTGTGGGCCTTAGATCTCCTTACACCGTCGTGAAGAGAGCGAATTCCCTGCTTTCTTTTCTCAGGTGGTGCGCAAAGTCAAAAGTCCTGGACACAAATCCGTTCTCAGAGAAAGTTGTTTGGCAGTACTTTCAGGACTTGAAAGAGTTGGGTGCGCCTGCAACTCGGGCCTCTTCGTGCATGTCGGCCTTCAGGTTTGCACTTCATGTATTAGGCTTTGAGTCACTTAGTGAGGTCACAGGTAGCAGGCGAGTCGTTGGCCTTAGTGATCAAATGCATGCAAACAAGAGAGTTTTGAGGCAGGCTCTTCCATTGACTGTTTTGCAAGTTCGTAAATTGCATGACATTGCGACTAACTCGAATGCAAACTTGGTTGATCGTGGTGCTGCCGTATATTTCTTGATTGCGTTGTATGGACGTTGCAGGCATAGTGATTTGACGAAGGTGCATTCAGTAGTGCCTGATTTTGATGATGATGGAGGGTTCCTTGAGATTCGATCAGCACACCATAAGACGGGAAAGACGGCTGAGAGGCGTACTCAGCTGATGCCCATCCTTATCCCTGCGAGAGGTGTGCACGGTGTTAGTTGGATGGGAGCCACATCGGATGTATTCTCTCAGTTGGAGTTGTCACTTGATGGACCGATTGGAGGGCCCCTGTTCCCTGCTCCAAGCCTCGGTCATGAGACTTTTTGTAAAAGGCCTTTAACATCAGGTGAGGCATCCTCATTTTTGAGAATGCTCATAGGTGCGCCGTCGGAAGCCGTTGACGATTCGACGCCAATCGTGTCTTCGCACTCCGCCAAAGCAACGCTGTTATCGTGGGCTGCAAAGTATGGTCTTTCGGAGCCCTCCAGATCAATTCTCGGGAGGCACGCCAGTGCCACGTCTGGCACCTATGCCTTCTACTCCAGGGACTTGTGTGTTGCCCCGACTCGTGAAACGCAGGTGGTCATTGACGAGATCTTCAAAGGAAACTTCAATCCCGATGCACCCCGTAGTGCTTATTTCACCAGATGTGAACCTATGATTGAGACTGAAAGCGGTAGTGCTTTGATGTGTGCACCCGAGGTTGGATCATTGGCAAAGGCAGAAACAGTGGACTCCGAATGTGTGCAGTCGGAAACTCAGGAGGAGCACGAGCCCATTGTGGTGCAGGATGATTCTAGCTTGGAGAGTTCTTCGAGTGAGGCGGGGTCTTCTGCTGACTCGTCTTGTGGTGAGGAGCCCCCCATGAAGGTGAAGCGGTTTAGGCCTCGAGTGCCTCGGGATGAGTCTTGGTATGTTCATCGGAGATCTCACATTCTCCACCTTCTCACGGAGAACGCTGATGGCCTTACCTATCGTTATTTGACATGTGGGAAGAGGCTTACTGAAGCTTATAGTTTGTCTACTGAAGCGACTGCGTGGAACGCGATGTGCAAAATGTGTCTCAAGAAGAAGCCTTCTTGAAGGGCCTGTGCAGGCTGAACGACGCGGAATGTCCGTGGGAAAAACTCGCCCATGCGTGGCGCTCTTGTGAATTTCTGTGTGACGTCTTAGGATCCATGAGGGTGACCGTTTTGGAAGCTTGGGTCCGCGCGCGCGCGCGCGCCCTTTTGGGCCCTGAAAACGGCCGTCAGAGGCGCGCGCGCGCGCGCGGACCCAAAGCGGCAAAACGGTGACCTCACGGAATCTTTTAGTGTGACGACTCTCAGGGACAATAAAGCCGGTGTAGGCTTGCGGTGTAGCAACTATAATAGATCCAACTGTCCTGAGGACCCGTTTTGACCACTTCACAAACGAAGTTGAGTGAATGTCCAGCCATGCGTGCTGTGGTTCAAGGGATTTGTGCCTATGATGTCATTAATTGCATTTGGTTGAATCCATTCCCACTTGAGACTGGTTCGATTGAGAATGCAAGGGAAGACCTCTTAATACTGAACCTTGTCACGCTGTTTGTTGATGTTGGCAAAACATGAAGCTGTCGTCAACTTGTTTAGAATTTTCTTTATTCAGGACGGGAGATCATTGTTGCTCCTGCCGAAGGCACCGGGAAGCAATGGCGCTCTTGCTGGACAGCGAGGCACAATTTGACCTCAGGATTAGTGAGTGCAAGGTTCCGGATAACATCAGAGATGCTTTGAAAGCAAATGGCATTACCACACTTGCTTCCTTGTCCTATAGTTTTGGGCAACCTGGACAAGTTATTGATCAAGATGCTTTTGCAGCTTGGGCCAGGTCCTTAGAGCCTAGAGCTGCGTTAGGAGGAGTGGCAAATTTGAGGAGATTGGTATTTGAAAGCCAAACCCAGCTTCTGGCCATTCTCAGGGATCAGGTGACCTCGGCGGACACGACCACCAGGAAAATCCCGCAAGCAGAAAGAGAATCAAGAATGAACTTGGTCAGGCAGCGCTTGACAGGTGTGTTGGTGAGCGGCTCAATGGAACCAGGCCACTCCCTCTTGGATTCAGTGATGCACATGGTGGATAAGAATCAGTTGAAGTATTTGCCTCCTGAACGCTGTGTCTCAAGGGTTCACGAACTCACGTCTTTGAAGGCACCAGACCGTATGCTTGACATTGAGGCGAACAAGATCGTGGTCAAGGATAAAGATGAGAAGCTCGAGGTTCCGGCGCACACTTCTTTGCAGGTCTTGGAGGCCATGAAACGTCGTGGCATCGCCTTAGACTTCGGAGATTGCATGGGTTTTGTGGAACATGACACATACGTTCAAGCCCTTTTTGCGCATTTGCATCGTGAACCACCTCCCGGTTACCAACGTTGCACAGTCGCTCAATTGGTCAGTGCTGATAAAGAGGCTTGGAGGAAAGCGATTGAGTTGAATGTGAAGCCCAAGAGGGATCATACGGGGGCTAGACCCCTGGACCATCAGCTGATGGCTGCGCTCACGTCATATGAGGTTTCGTTCACCCTGATTCCCTTGCCCATGAAGGCCAAACAGGACACAAAAGAACGAGGTGCAGGATCGGAACGTCCAGGTGGTGGCAAGGGCTTCGATTCCAAAGGAGCAGGAAAAGGTAAGTGGCAGAATCGGCAAAAGGGTTCATGGTCCAGCCCCTATCAGAAGGGGAAGGGAAAGTCGAAATGGGAGCCCAGGATCCCTGCACAGATTCGTGATCTAGGAGGGACGGCTACGACTCCCGCCGGAAAGCGCATTTGCTTTGACTTCAGCTTGGGAAAATGTTCCATTGCTGCTGATGGAGCTGAGTGTCCGAAGGGTCTCCATGTGTGTGCCAAGTGCTACGGTCCGCATGCCTTGAAGGACCACAATTCGGCCTGACTAGGCAAAAGGCCGCTAGAGGAGAGTTCTTTGGAAGCTCTCGAGAATTCAAGCCGTTCGAAAGAACGCAAAACCAGTCATGGGCAGGGCATTGAACGACGTTCGGATCCCAGTGCTTTAGGCCCTTTCTGCAAGACGCAAACAAACGAATCCAGTTCTTCAGTTTTTGATGAGACACTTCATTCACGCAATTTTCCAGAGAAACCGTTTATCATCGAACTGTGTGCAGGGTCAGCCAGAGTAACTAGTTGTGCACGTGCCATCGGCTTGACAGATTCCTTCGGTGTCGACCATGTCAAGGGAAGAAACTGTGGACGCATCATGTTGGCGGATTTGACCACAAAGGCGGGCAAGTCACTTGTTATGCAATGGTTGAACTCGCCTTCGTGCATGGGCGTTTTCGCAGCGCCCCCTTGTGGAACCAGCAGTAGAGCTCGATCAATCCCACTTCAGGTCTCGTCAGGCAAGTTCATCGCTGGGCCAAGGCCTTTGAGGAACGAGCTTCATCCGGACGGACTTTGTAACCTTAAGTGGGTAGATAAACTCAGAGTTTCATCCGCAAATCGGCTGTATCACTTTATAACCGAAGTTGCACACGAATGCATTCGTCGTGACCTCATTATCGTGATCGAGAATCCTAGGAGGAGTTTTTACTGGCTCACTTCGTTTTTTCAGCCATTGGCGGACAAGCTCATGTACACAGCGCATCAAGCTTGTGCATACGGTTCCACACGCCCCAAATGGACTGTCCTTGCTCACAACTGTGCTGCCTTTAATAAGATAAATAAGTGTTGTCCCGGAGTGTCCAAAAAGCATTGCCATGAAGCCTGGGGCTTAACCCCCTCGGGTTTCACCACGAGCAAGGAAACTGCGTATCCATTGCATCTGGCGTATGAGATCGCTCATGCCTTTGCTCAGGAAGCAGTGACACGAGGTTGGCAGCCGCCGGCTGGGTCGCTTACACCACCCAGCAGAGTCCAGTATGCTTACCTCAGGGCAGTTGTAGGCCTTCAACCCAAAGCTTCCAAGCTTGCGCCGGTTTTGTCAGAATTTTCGGAAATTCGTCATGTATCGCACGCCGGAGCCAACCCACCAGTTCAGCCTGGTGGTACTTTGACCGAGCCTTGGGAAGGCATCCCCGCAGGTGCCAAGTTCTTGCAACACCAACCACTCCGGTTAAGAGGGGGAAATTCGGAGAACAGTGAACCTTCTTTTGCCTTTGGAATTTTCCGTAGCCCGGAGCAGTTTGTTCTTGAGGCAGTAGC